AAATCAAAATATGATTATCAGGATTAAAAAAAACCTACAAAAGTTTGAGAGATGGAACTCAGGAACTCTTTCGCTAAGTTGAACCAAAAGAACAACAGACAGGAAGAGAGAACAGATTTTTTTAAATTAAAGGATCCAGGCCGACAGAGCCTAAATAAAAAGAATTCTAGAAAAGGGAAAAGAGGAAATTATTAAAGCAATAATATAGAAAAATGTCCTTGAAGTTTTTCCAGATTGATAGTCTGTCAAACCCCCTCAAAATTAATGGGGCAGTGGTGCAGTGGATAGCAAGTGTTATCTGACACTTTAGAATAACAGAGGTTAAAGAAAAACTCCTAAAAGCTTTCAGAGAGAATATAAATAGGTAACATACAACAGAAATCTTAGGAATCAGAATGGGCTCAGATTTCTCAAAAGCAATACTCGAATCCAAAGGGCAATAAATATCTTCAAAACTTTGGGAAGAAAATATTTTCCACCTAGAATTCTATAGCCAAGCAAATTGTTACTCAAGTGTACAGGCATAATAAAGCCACCCCGCCCTGCGCACCAGTTCTTTGGAAGCTTCTTTACTTCTCCAAAACAAAGTTATACACCAAGAAGAAAAAAGCAGATCCAACAAAATAGAGAAGTAAAGGGAATTTCCTGGATAGTGAAACGAAGTCCACAGTTGACAATTTGCAGCAGATGCAGAGAATAACCTATACAGACTGAACCAGGGAGACAGAGCCTCCAGGGAGGCAGGGAGATGAAGAGAATCAAAGAATAAAGGAAGAGAGGAAAGAAGGAGCAAAGGAGGGAAAGAGATAAACAACTGAGGGAGGGAGGAAAAGAAGGGAAGAAGAGGAGGAGGGAAGGAAGGAAGGAAACTGATAAATACCTCATGTGTTTAAACATAATGAGAGAAAGCACACTTGTGTTAGATTTTGGAGATGAATTACAATTGGTATAAATAAACCAAAAGGAAGGAAGAAAGCAACAGAGGAAGAAAGGGAGAGGGGAGGAAGAGGGAGGAGGGAGAAAGAGGGGAAGGAACAGAGAGGGAGGGAAGGACAAAGGGAAGGAGGAGAAAGAGAATTAATAAGAATACATTAATTCTGAAATCTCAGGGAAAAAAAGCTGTACAAGAACGAAAATATAACCGTATTCACTATACAGATTGGTTGTCATAATAAATTATATCTTAATCCTGGATGTAACTAAAAATGGTGATATAATTTGATTAAGACAATGGGAGGAAGGAAAATATATGTGTATGTTTGAGGGGAGATGACAATGCCTATAAAATAGCTTCAAAAATGTCAAGGCCATGGTGGAAAAAGGATGAGGAAGGAGACCAAAGAGACACAATGGCTAAATGTAACCCATGATCCTGGATTGGATCTTGTATCAGAACTTTTTTTTTTCCTTCAGTCTCTCTAAAGGATTATTAGGACAACTGGAGGATTTTGAGTGGAACTATGGAATAGATTAGTATTTTATCAATGTCGATTTCCTGATTTGAATATTTGTACTTTGGTTATGTAGGGGAGTGTCCTTGTTTTTAGAAAATACAGACAGGCCTATTTACGAGTAATGAGTTAT